TGTGGAAAATAATGTGTTTTTTGAACCTTAAACCGCATAAACATTTCATTACACCAAATACACAAAATAATGTTCTTTTTAGCAACATCATATGACCCCTTTGATAATTTAATATTTTGTATTGCTTTACATTTTTTTATATTACGTTTAATTAAGTTAAATTAAATAAAGTAATAACTGCTGTGTCTAAGATGCTTGAGAAAATGGCCAAAAACTAAAATATCCCTGCAGTAATTACTGAAAGATTTGCTCCTTTGTGAACTGGGAAAACAGAAAAAGGAGAAAAATAGATAAAAAAAATGGGAAACGAGAGAAAGAGAGAGAGAGAGAGAGAGAGAGAGAGAGAGTGTTTTGATGCGAGAGGAGCAGTGGAGACCCATATCTCTGCAGAGGGTCTACAGACATTGAAACCAGATGCAGTTCTGCAGTCATGAGCTTGAATGTGTGTGCACTCAAAGGGGTCGCCCGAGATATATTTAGAAACTCCAAACCCCATCCATCAACCCGACAGCTTCAGATTAAGCACTTGATGTAACCTTACATTGGGGCCTGCTCCAACTTTCCCCTCTTTCTCTTCCTCTCTTTCTGTCTATCTCTGTCTGTTTCGTTCTCTCTATCACACGCATTCACAGAGAGCTGAGAAAACTCCCCGTCTGGGATGGGTTCTGAACAGCACTGTCAGCACACTGTCTGCTTCAAATAGCCTTTATGAGAAAAACAAACACCTAAAAGATCAGCTATGCCCAACATACACTGTGTCTGTGAGCAACCTGATGCGATTAAACTAATATGCTGATCTGCTGCACAAGAAACTAATTTTTTATCATTACCAATGTGCTGCTTCATATTTTTGTGCAAACTTTGAGTAGAAAGTAAAAAAGAACAGCATTTATTTGAAAAAAATGTTTTGGTAACAATGTAAAAGTCTTGTCACTGTCATTTTGATCAGTTTAATGCATTATTGCTGAATAAATGTATTACTTTATTTAAGAATCTGATAGATATGCTGCCTAGAACAAGTATTTTGTATTTTGGCACAACTTACTGCAGGGGCAAGTTGCATAAACTACTTTAAGATGGGTCATAGCTTTTTTAAGGTCAACAAAATACAGGTAATACTGATTATCCCTTAGCTACTGGGAAAAAAAAACATTTTATTGACTTATGTACTGTATTTCACTGCAGTCACGTGCATTTTTGTAACTGGTTCCCTATAAACAAGACTGGCTCATCTGATCCTGTGGTTCATTTTACCCTGGTCTCCCAACAAAGCAACACAATATACTGTACTGTGCACATGTGTAGCAGTCAGAAAAAAATTCTGAAATCTGGTGTTAATTATGATTAATCAATTATAATCAACTATTATGATCAAATAAGCGGTCAAAATATAATTTATGACAAAAATAGCCAAGAACATCTTTGACCATCATAACTGATGCTGTTCGGTTTCAGTGCACTAGAATGGGAGCATTGTTGCCTCACAGTTTTAGTATCAATGCCACAGAGTGCGTGTGTGTGTTAGAAATAGTCTTTTTCTTTGAGCGAGCAACCCTGGCCTCATTAAAACTTGTTTATGTAGGGAGCTATTCCAGAAAACTGAGGTTTATTTGTGTGTATGATTGACTGAAGGTGAAGCTCAGGTGAGTGTTTTTTCCTCTGAAAATGTAAACCAAACATGAAGTTTAGAAAGACGCATTGTACATGCACAAACTCTCTCACTCAAAAACCATTGAAACCCACGCACACACCTGGACTTGGACCGTCCTCTTCACAGCTGGTTTGGCAGTATGCATGTGTGTGAATGCATGAGGTTGCCAGGTTTCACTGCTGTATTATCAGTGCCAACAGGTGTGAAGACTGGAGAAGGATGTGTGTGATTGCTTTGTACAACGACACGTGTGTGTGTGTGTGTGTGTGTGTGTGTGTGTGTGTGTACCCAAAAAGTCCCATTCCATTTTCCAACACACTCATGTCTTATACAGTAAACATTATTTTCTTCTTTCCGGCACATACACACACTATACGCTAAGTCTGTCTGGTTTTGAGAGAGAGAGAAGGAGTAAAACAACACAATGTCTGAAAGGGTCATCACTTATAACTATTTCCAAACACACCATTTCAGACAGGGAATATGAATCACTACAGTGAGTCAATACAACATACGACAAATGCATGAGTTTGTGTGTATGTGAAGGAAGAGGGAGAGAGAGTGAGAGATCCTTCTCATACAGTGGACTCTTTGTACTGTATACTGAAGAAAAACAAAGTCAAAGTGAGTGAAGATCCTCTGCGAACACACCGAGTATATGGTCTATAGTGCATAAAACAGTCCACACCGTCTGTCTTTTTCATAATTCACAGTTAGTTATAATAATATTCATATTTTACTATAATATCCTTTTTCTGATTAAAAAAAAAAAGTGAATGTATAAAAACCATTTATGGATCCAAGCATCGAAAGTTTATTCAGATTTATGACGATTCTTCGTCCCTAATTGTGTTTGGATATCATAAACAGTAAAGTGCCTAGATATCAAATTTGTTATAATGATCTCACATCTCAAGCTTTAGGTGACATTATAATAATGACATACAAATTTCCCTTTAAGCAAACCTGTCCTAGACTGCTGATTCTATTGCTGCACAATTTTTTTGTATTAGACTCCCTTCTGAGGAAAAGGTTCATCAAATTGTTCTTCATTAAAGTCTTCATGAATGTTTTTGGCATTTTGGAGACACACAAAATGTAGAGGCACGATATCAAATGTATACTTAAAACTTTGCAAGTTTACTTAAGAATGTTGAAATTCACCAGCATTAGATGACAGTTATATACTGTTGTGCCATATTTGGAAATTGAGGTCACTTTCTGCCCCTTTCCATTGTGCTTGGACCCCGATAATTGTCATTTCCGGCTACATTTGATATTTACATTTATATATGCAGGCGTGTGTGTGAATGACAGAAAGAGTTCTGGGTTTCTGGGGAGTTTATTCTAACACTCAACACTTATGTGTTATGAAGGCACCTTTGTTTGGCAAAATCCCATTCAAACAATAAATGCTTTGCTGTGATTCCTGGCAATTTGCCGAGGTAAAGTCAGAAAACTGCTGAACCATCAAAGCCTCCGTCAGTTCTCTGGATGTGTTTCATGATTGTGTGTGTTTATGCACGTGTTTCTGTGTTTGAACCAGTCATGTATCTTTGCCCAGAATCAGTGACTAACTCTTCTTCAGGTTCAAACAAACAGCACATCTGTAAATGACTGCCAAATTCTCCCATTGCTTTTATCTGGTTTTACTGCCAGCATTGTTATCTTCTTCCTTTGTTTTTCTGTCAGACATATATGTGCGCGTAAGTGTTTTTGGTTTAGTACAAATGCCTTGAAGAGTGGAAGTGCCCACCCTTACTCCACCCAGGCCTGAAATACAACTACACACCGACCCGCTCGTTCACACTCACACAGCTTACACGCAAGATGGCTCAGACTAGGCTTCTGCATAGTTTCTGACCAAGTAAATATTTTCCTTAGGTTGCTGAGGCATGAGGGTTGCCAACTGTCCCACACAATACAGAATCTTGTGCCATTTACTGTAAGGAAGCAGAAACACAGATATCTTTTACATTTGTTACAGTTGTGTAACAGCCGCATTAGCTGTTGCTATGTTACACTGACACTATAAACAAAGATCAAGGAAGACCAAGGGAGAGTAGTTATATCTGTTGACTTTTGGTTGAACTGTTCTTGATTGGCAAATGGTGTATATTGCATATTCAGTCAGTTTCACAAGTATTTCACTGGTGCACATTTTTCATGCGATTTACTGCTGTTTATAAAAATACAAAGCACTTAAAAGTTAAACTGCATATGTTAGTCTTAAAATGTTTATGAACACATTTCTCTAGTGTTATAGTTTGCCTGTACATGCTACATATGCATATGAACAATTAGGTTAACCTAATTACTTATATTAACACATAATTAATATATATATATGCTATCAGTATGCCAAAATCCAAGTGACTGCATCTCAAATGCATTTTAGCACTTAATTCTGTCAAGTAGGCTATAGTGACTGTTTACACACAAACAGTAGTCTACATAGCAGCCATGCACATGACTGTGTGCAGCAGTTCATTTTTGTTTCCATTACGGTCAGTTATCACCAATAATCAAATGGCGCATGTGGTATAAAGAAATGACAAGTGTCCTCTGCTGAAGTGGCGGTTTACCCAGGACACTCCCTGTTTTATGAGGTGTGTCCCTGTTTCAGCTGTAATCTGACTGACTTAAAATGAAGTGTCCTCAATGTCTTTCTGAGCAGCTCATGGTTCTCAACAGAATTGCATTACATTACAGAGAATGCAAGCTGTGTCTCTGCCAAAAACCTGGTCACCCTAATTTTCAAAAGTGTGACACACTAATCCCACAAAACCCAATACACTTTCTCAAGAGCTGAGGCCAATTAAGCACATAAATGTTCTTCAGAAATCACTGAGGTTCATTTCACTCTTTATTTCAGCAATAGAAATCAATTTTAAATAACTTTAAAATGTGTAAATTGATTCGATGTGCGCGACAATTTGTTTTGTTTTTCCCGCTAAACTAAACTTTTTGCTAAAATGTAGGTCAGAAGTTAGAACTGTCAAATGCAGTTCTCCCCCTGCTGGCCGGCGCTGGTAATGGCATCATCGCCTCGGCGGCTCTGGATTGGCTCCAGGCGCATAAAGGCTGGCGGTCAGTGTGCGCACCGCTGCTGCCAGAGACACTTCTGCGCTTCCAGAAGGGCAAGAGACGGACAGAAAACACCGGCACTAATGAGCTGGGGACTATTGTGAGACTTTACAGATTTTTGGTATTCTTCTCGCACTTCTTAAACTGTCTGCGAGGAAGTCATCGCGTCTGTTTGTGGATTTTACCTTCTTTTTTTTTTTTCTGAGATCATGAACTAAAGTGTTATGCGCTGAACCCTTTATTCACGGAGTTTTAACCGGCGGGATTTCTAAATTCAAAGGTAACAAAAAAAACTTTGAGGCACATTTTCCTCCCACATATAGTCTAAATGTATAATAGAGAGCATTAAGTGTGACATTTGGTTGTCTTTTAATTAAGTACAAATAACTAGAAGAACTTGTCCATGCATTATCCTGTAACGCGCACGTTTGGGAACATATGAGGCGGCGTTTCGAAACCGAACGAGCTGCCTACCTAGGCGGTATTTTGGGCATCATGGGAGCGATTGAACGTTCTAGTTGAGATTAGTGTTCGAACGCGCTTATGATGCCTAACCTGCTGTCTGGCATAGCAGCACACTAGGTTTTAAGTCAGCCATTATTTATTGTAAATATTTTAGTAATTATTTTATAATGAATTACAACATTTTATGTAAAATGGGTAGACCGGGGCTAGTTGTAACAAGGGCTATATCTCAGTAAACAAGGTTTTGTGTGTGTTTCTTATAAAACTGTAAGCTCGGGGCAAATTGTCATACAATAATAGTATTTTGGGGCAAAAACAATAGTTTGAAATATAGTTACCATTTACATGTTTGCTGTTTTATGCATTGTTTTGTTTGTCATAACTGGTTTACTTTACTTTTGTGTTTCATTACCATTTTAATCTAGCTAAAAAGCCTATAATAGACCGTTTAATCACAGAATCTGTTGTGACAACTTACCCCATTTAGTGTGACATCGTGCCCTGCATTATATAGACCAGGGGCCGGTTGCATAAACTGTTTAGACTAGTCTTAAAAATGTAGTCACCTAATTTTTTTTTTTCTTCAAGACTGGTCATAACTTTTTTAATTCAGTTATGAAAAGGTTGATTGTTCTTATTTGTATTGGTAAAGTAAGACTGATTCTTGGCAACTGCTAGTTGGTCAAACTAGTTCTTAAGACACAGTCTTAACATGGTGGCTAAGTTTATGCAACTGGCCCCAGGTCTGTGTCTATATAGAAACTGACTCTGAAAAAGAAACCTACCCTGAGAAATATTCACTGAAATCAAAATTGACTCTAGTGAAAACTAGCCCAATTCTCCCATATAATATATATTGTAATACTTTCGTTTTAGGCATCTATTGGGACACCAGGACTCTGTCTGTGGCTCTGATAATGGGACTTTAGGCTTATACCTCTCGTATTGTCGTTCCTGGAGTGAATTCGCTGGTTTAAAACATTTACGCTCTTCCAGAAATGGTGGGGCATTTACATTTGCAAGCTATGGATGAGAGTTTGAAAGGAAAGAACCGGGATGGACTGCTTGATAGTCCGGATTCAGGACTCCCTCCAAGCCCCAGTCCGCCCTTCTACTCTCTGTCACCGGGGATCCTCGAGTCGCGCTCCAGCAGCTGCTCAACCCCAAATGAGCTGCAAGGATACTGCAGAAAGGAGACCCGGGAAGGCAAACTGGTATGCATTCATCTAATGAAGCCTCAGAGCTTAAATGAGACCCAAGAAGGACCTGTTCCTCAATCAACATCCTTTGCTGGCAGTGGAACAGTTTTCCTATCAACCAATCGGTGCACTGATTTTAGGGGTAGGGTTAGGGTATACTGCTTGTTGTCCAGGAAAAGGATGTTGATGCAGGAACATGCCCTACTTGGGTAAATCATGTGCAGTATTTAGACAAATGCATGAGGACTATGAGTGGAAGCAATCAGTTTTAAAAGGAGATAAAACAACAAAACTGAAAAACACAATGCATTATGTTTGCCTTTTTGAGTATGGTTATTTCGCACACACAAGTTATAAACGTCAGTGATATTTGAACTGTGTTCATGTGTGGCTTTGGAGATATGAGCTGTGTGTCATCCAAAGGTTTTAGATCCAGTTGTTGCCTTCCATCAGTTTTGTCCTTTGACAGATGAACCTACACCTTAAATGCACTCATTTAAGTCATGATGTAACAGAAGTAGAGGCAGATATTTTTTGCGGAGTGAAACGGATTATCAAAAAAGAAAAACATTACTTGGCTCAGTTGTTGATTAGATGGAGGCATATCTGTAATGCGAGTTTGAGGTTGATCGCAAAAAAGCAATGGGTTTAAATGGACTACAATACAATAAAGATCAATATCATGCATTTAGAAAATAGGTATTTCATTTCATAGCAACTTTAAATAACATCATATCAGTTGTAATATGATTATCTGTTGTTATGGTAGTCGCCATTTCATATTCACTATGGATACAGATGATATTTACAAATGGTTAAGGCGTTTGACTTCAGTTACTCATTCATACTGGCAGCATTCAAGCCGCTTCTGTATGAACAGAACAATTCGAAAGTCACATGAGAGCACGTTTTTAAATGAAGTAGATTCAATCCAAAACTACATGTTAGAATATTGAAGTACATATTTATTTTTTTGACGTAAACACAAACTGACACTGTTGACAGTGTGGTGGCCAGAGACAAATAATGAGAGGTAATAGGGCAGAATCCTGAAATAGAAAGAGGTTCAGGTGCTCGTGCCTCTGGAGACTCACTCTAATGAAGCAGGGATGACAAGAAGCGACTAGAGAGAAAGAGTTTCTGTAAACAAGTTGACCTTGTGTTTGGTGAATGTGGTAACTGTAACCAATCTCTCTGTCCCTCATAGCTTCCTCATAACAACCCTTTTACAGCACATACATACACACAAGTAGTGCTGAGACACACACATACACAAATATATCATGGTACAGTATTACTCGACAGTGCATGTTTGTGCTACAGTATAGCACTGCACAAGTGCCTCAGCATAACCCAGAGTCTTATTTCTGCCTCTGAAAGATTGCATAGCATGCTAAACTAACAGTGTCCACATTTGACATGGCCATCTATTTAAATCTAAGTGCCCTATCATACTGAACTAGGGCTACTTTACTATAATGAAAAACTCCTGGCAGTGTCTCAATACTTCAGAGTATCCACAATGCTAGAAGATTCAGATTAGCATAGAAAGAAAACATTTTCCAACACTTTATAATGGGTGCATCTTCTAGGGCAGGAAATTCAGTTTTCCCTGAGGAAACATGGCTTAGCACTAACAATACAACAACTCCTTCTATTAAACAGATTCCAGTATGAGAGGCCTGAACTGAACTGATACGCTGCTCGACTGTTAACGTGATTGAGCTGCATTTGTCTCTGTCGTGCAACATAAATGCTTTGCCTGAGCATGCCGCTAAGAGCAACTATCTAAAGGCATTTTGGAGTGTAGAAATGATCACTCAGACACTCCTCTTCAAGAAACATGCATGCACTTGTTGGGACGCCGCTGCAATAAAGCGTTTCACTCAATAAAATAGAAAGGAGCAGCATAACTTTATTTGTGCAACATGAACTTTTGATGAACATGATGCTGTTTCCAAAATCCTATTACTTAAAGTATACAAATGTGGTCGAGCCTGCAGGCAACATGCAGTATATGAGGACCAAATGCTCTCTCAGAGTAGAAAAGAAAACGTAGGCATACAAAGCCATCATTGTTTGCTGCACTTTGTATTTTTTTCCGTTCATGGCAACCTTGCCTTGCGAGGGCGTCTATCCCAGCATGTATATATAGTATGCTATTTGCAGTATGCATGCTTGCAGAGGATATATCTGCCTTTTCCCTCTCATTTTGTGGCTGCGGGTCTATTTCAAATTTATTGATATTCAAGATCAAGATTCAAGAGATTCAAGATTTTTATGTCACATACATGGTTATATAGAGAATATATGACCAGCAGTGAAATGTATGTCAGGTCCGCTCCATGGACAGTGCAATTATTAAAGAATACAAACACAAGAAAATTATATATAAATATAGGTATGGAAAAAGTACGATGAAAAAATAAGAATAAAAATAAAATGCACAGGACAGTATACTGTAGACTTAATATTGATCGATATTAGATGATTAGTTCAGTTCAGTTCCTCTATTTGTACTTTTGTCTCTTCATTTACAACCTGCAAACTCATCCTATCATATTAGTTATACACCTTACCTTAAACCACAACTTTTTTTTATTTTTACTCGGATCACTATCAGTTGTCTGTAATTCTTACGAGTTTCTCTTATTTTATGATTAAGCTTTTTCTGAGCCAGTTTTAAAAGTTCAGGGTCCCATTGTTTAAAAGCCAAATGTTTCTGATTTATGCACTCTTTACCCTCCTTGGTGATATAAGGCTTGTTATTTGAAAAATGTTTAACTGGAATCACAGAATCTTCACAGAATTTGACATACACAGACCTGATTTCATTATGCATGTCAATATTTGGATCATACAGCACCTCCCAGTCAGTACAGACAAAACAGCCTTTCAATATCTCCACTTTTTCTGAAGACCAAAGTCTCACCACCTTGTTCACAGGCTTAATTGACTTCAGCAAGGTACGGTAGACAGGAACGAGAAGCACGGTATTATGGTCTGAGTTTGCTAGTGGTGGTTTAACTTTCACAGTATATGCATTGGATATGTTCCCATAACACTTGTCCAAAATATTAGTGTTCCTTGTATTGCAGTTGACATTTTGTTGAAAACCAGGAAGAAATTTTTAAAGATAACAGTGATTCATATCACCCAATACAAACAAAGAAGCATTAGGGGTGCGTTGGAGCTGCTGTTGCATGCACTCACACTCCTGCGTCACAGCTCTTACAGCATTTCCATCCGGTGGCACATAAACAACGCAGATGACAACATTGCCAAACTCACGTGGCAAATAAAAGGTCTCCCTCACAGTAATGCATCCACATCACCGATCATTAATATAAACACAACCCCACCTCCGCAGGATTATCCTGACCTGACCAGATCTCGGTCCACTCGCACCAGTGTAAAACCGTCCAACTCAACGTAGACATCGGGGACGTCGGCCTGAAGCCACGTCTCTGTCACAGCCATAATGCTTGCATCCCAATATTCTCAACAGAAATTTTAATTATTTCGAAGTTCATCCATTTTATTCCGTAGTGAGTGGGCACTGAACAGGATCATTGAAGGCAGAGCTGGACAATTTCCTCTCCTCCTGAAACGCTGTCGTTTACCTCTGTGCTGAACTGTGCCTCTAGCTTGCGGCAAAGCAAATATCCGTTGTTGCGGTCGTCTCCGCAGCTCTGCGGGTATTTCAAAGCGCATACAGATGAAGCACAATGCCATAAGCGCCTCCCTGGTATAGGAGATGGCATCCTGTTCATGACCATGTGCCGCCAAAGTTGTATGATTCGTAACGAGGGAAAACAAAACGATTTCCACCCAAAGGACACGCATGAGTGCAGTCATCTTCCAGTCTTCCAATCAAACAATCACAATAGTTCGAAATAGGCCAAAAATACTCCTTTCTAACTCAATTACGCAGCCAGGTCGCCTGCTGAGCAGTGCCCCTAGTAAAAGACAACGGAAGCAAACAAACAGATCCATAACAAAGACAAACTTACAACCGGAACATTACTAGTAGAGACTAAAAACATATGAAACCAAACAAGGCAAAGATCAATCGGACACCTCCAGTATGAAAAGGTAGCAGTGAATAAAAACATTCGATCAGGAAATTCAGGCCACTAGATGTCAGTATAGAGCCCCAAACAACAGGCATGAGAGTTTAAATACAGCCCTGTGTCCAGCCTGAACACCTCTAACTGTATGTAGGGATAGGTACCAAAACCTGGTATCATTCGGGCCCCAGGGCTAAATGATGAAAGGCTGTAGTACCGATACGCTTGGATGTTATCTGTTCTGCTTTCGGTACTGAAGAAAATACACAATGTTTATTAATGCTACATAAATGATGTGTTGCAAATTGTATCTCACCAACCATTTCTATATGAGAAAATATCAAGACATTCGTCTAGGATGCAATTTAGAAAATTCACAATCACCAGATTACAAAGTATCAGATCGATTAGCAGTATCAGTAAGAGTAGTAATACCATTAAAACCTTATGCACAAGTGTGATGTTTATTTGTACAAATGAAGGTTTGACTAGTTAGCGTCATCCCATTCGCCCCTGCTGGTAGATGCTGTAACTGCATCGTCTGTGAGAAAAAAAAGCATATTTTCTCCATTGATGGCCAGAGGCCTGTTGCCATTATTTTTAGTTTTGACAAGTAAACTATCAGTTAGACATTTTTTATTACAGTAGATATTTTTCCAGTGTTTATATTTCTCTACAATATCAAATTGACATCTGGTGAAATCTAGTATAATGTATTAAGTATAATACCTGGCTTTCTCTTAGTATTCTAGACCTCCTTGGATGAAATAATTATTCTAGACCTCCTGACCCAGTCAGTCAATATAGTGATGCCACTGTAATGTCAAACTCTCTTCAGCCTTCAAGCTTTGATTAAGATACTGTTTGGTTGAGGCGTCCACTGCAGCCATCCTGTTGAACCTTTAAAGGGGTCATATGATGCGATTTCATGTTTTCCTTTGTCTTCGGAGTGTTAAAAGCTGTTCGCGCATAAAGAAGATCCGTAAAGTCGCAAAGATTAAAGTCTCAAACCCAAAGAGATATTCTTTATAAAAGTGAACGCTCATCCATGCCTTCCTAAAACGCCTCGTTCAAACACGCCCCCACATGTCTACGTCACTATGTGGGAAGATTTGCATAACACTGCCCAAATGTATACACAAAGAAAGAAGGCGCAACTTTTATTCTCACTGTAGTATTGTTGCGCCGCCATCATGTCATGGAGACGCTGTGTTTCATTTCGAAAGCCAAACTACTTTGTTTGGCCTTCCAAAAGAAGACACAACTAGAAATCAGTGGTAAAGTTTTGTTTGCAACACTGTTCCAGAACAGTACAACCCAAATATTCGAGTGTGTGCAGCGCATTTTACGGAGGAAAGTTTTCTGAACCTGAATTTCCTTGAATTTCCTTGAATCTGAATTTCCATCACATGCTTGAGGAATTCGGCCAATCACAACACACTGGACAGCTGGCCAATCAGAGCACAACGCGCTTTTCAGACCGATGAGCTTTGTAAAAATCGACGTGTTTCAGAAAGGCAGGGCATAGAGGAGCAACAATAATGTACAGTATGTGGAAAATAATGTGTTTTTTGACCTTAAACCATGCAAACACATTGCATTACACCAAATAATGTTTTTTTAGCAATGTCATATGACCCCTTTAACTGCTCTGTCCCTGTCGAGATCTGTCTCTAATGTCACTGAGTGTACAGGGTTTGTGTGTGCTCTGACGGCACACTGTGTAACAGCACAGTGGACACAGAATCCGTCCTGGATTTAACACACACTCTCTCGTACTCATATGGACACAGACGCACATGCTCAAGGGCGCGATCCCTTTCTCACTGGCCCACATCCATGAGACAAAAGCATGATGCCAGAAACCTCTCATAAACAGCATATATGTTAGTAAAGGGAGGATTTGTAATTTTGCTGCTAATTACTCACTTTCTTGGCTTAAACTGAGCCAGACCACCCTCTGTTAAATTGAAAAACAGATTTAAAAATGCAATGCATCACAATATCATAAATAAGTTGTGACTGAAGAGCATCCATTTTATTCCAAAGTGAGCGGGCATTGAACAGGATCATTGAAGGCAGAGCTGGACGATTTCCTCTCCTCCTCAAACGTTGTCATAAACCTCCCTGTTTACCTCTGTGCTGAACTGTGCCTCTAGCTTGCGGCAAAGCAAATATCCGTTGTTGCGGTCATCTCCGCAGTTCTGCGGGTATTTCAAAGTGCATACAGACCAAGCACAATGCCATAAGCGCCTCCCTGGTATAGGAGATGGCATCCTGTTCATGACCATGTGCCGCCAAAGTTGTATGATTTGTAACGAGGGAAAACAAAACGATTCCCACCCAAAGGACACGCATGAGTGCAGTCGTCTTCCAGTCTCCGACAACATTTAGAAATGCTCATTTTGGTTTCAAAATGCCATTTTCTGAACTATGAATGTGCACTTTAAAAACTGTTTGATGGATGTGAGAGTTAAAAATATTCCGCTCGAGCTCAGGAAGAGCCCCCGTTTCCCATGTCACATCAGATGACAGTTTGTCTGATGATATGCTGCTGAAGAATTGGGTTTTATGAGGTGTCAGAGACAGAGAGTGAGAAGCAGAGCGTGTACGTGCTGGACACTGAGGAAGGTGCTAAACGCTCACGTGGTGTGTGTGTGTTTGATGACTGGAGCAGGTGCTCCACACACACTGCTGCATTGTCATCGTTTGTCTGAGCGCCAAATATAGCTATATATCAGCACGCAGACACACTAAAGCAACAAAAACTATTAAAAACCTTTTCATTATTAAAAAGATACAAGAAATAAAACTAAAATAAAATACAATATATTTATTAGATGAAAACAAACTAAAAATGTAGAAACGTTGCCTTTGAAAATAATGAAGTTGAAGCACTAAAATGATTAAAAGAGAAATAAAAATGTATAAAAACAGAAATATTGATTATAAAAGTATATTATAAAAGTAATAATATTTACAAAATTAAAATGACAAACCACACAGCAATAATACTAAAACTGAAATGAAAATGGAAAATATAAAAATAAAAAACGATTTCAAAATCTTAATAAATACTATTATAGTATACGAACAATAAAAATAACACTGCTTGAAAGTGTATTAGACTGTGTATTAAGTCTGCTCATAAAATAATTTAATTTTCAATATAACATTTAAATGGCTGGACTGTTAAAAAAAAAAACACAGTTTAAAAAAAAGACTTAAACTGTAAAGCACATTAGTGTTGATTGCAGACACCAAAACACGAATAGGCATTGTAGGATAAATATTGTAGGATTGTTGCACATTTGATATTGCTAAAATGTTGTTTTGCTAAATGCTAAACATTGTTCGGATTCAGAGGACAAACAATTTCTTCTGTCACCTTAAGGGGTTTATTTTGTGACTGATTGATTGACAAATTGATTTGAGGTTAAATTATGTGAAAAGAAGAGACCACAAAATAATATGAGACATGAAACGTAAGAAAGTTGCTGTGGCCAATGGGCAATTATACAGTTTAGCTGTCATCATACATGAGTAAACTGACAAGCATGTCAATGTCAAATTTACAAATATTTTGCCAGGATTGAACATCAGTTATTATGGGTTTTAATGGCTAGCTAGATGGCTAATTCCTGTGTCTTTAATGTCTTCCTGTGTAGCTGCCATATTTGCTCCTGAACTCTCAAGGTCCAGATGCGAAGTCACGCATGTACCCTGTGGTCTATGGAGAGAGCATTGAGGTTAACCCCAAACCAGAAAAAGAGATCAAGTGAGTGTTAAATAATCACCATTAACTACAAATGTTTGAAAAAAAAAAACTAAAAAACTTTTTTTTTCAACTACAGCTAGATACAAAAGTCTGAGACCACCAGTTTCAGTTCGCTGAAAAGTGAAATTAAACATTAAAAACATTCAAATGAATGTCAGATTGTCTGATGATCATGTTCTCCATCATGATTTGAGAAAGACCATCTCAGCTTCAATGAAAGAACATCGGACCATTTGTACAAGTCACATGTCCAGTGTCACAAATATACGTATTTGACTAGTGACCTAGAAATAGTGCAGAATCTGAGATATTTCCTCATTATTCTGCATCACAACTTTTTCAAAATCTGATTTCCAAGTTGGTCGCAGACTTTGAGTGAACCCTCTCATATTTCCCTTATTCTTAGTTAAATAATGTTTGCCTGATGAATTCTTGTCAGGTTCAACTCTGCAGTGAAGTACGCTTCAGACAGACACTTCTGTGACCAGGTGTTCTGCGCCCAGCTCCCGACCGCCACATCCTTCAGCGAGACGGTGGTGTCCGTTCAGAACTGCACGTGGCGCAGCTACAAGTCAGAGGTACACTTTGAGCCACGGCACAGGCCGCTACACTTCCAAAGCACGACCATCGTGTTCCCCAAGCACACCCGGAATACATACCGCACCACGCTGAACTACAATGGCAACAGAAACGCAGCTGGGCACCGGCGGTTTGTGTCCACAGTCAGGCTGGAGTCCACAGAGGACGCCAGTCCATGCATCATTTACACAGAAGACCTCTGAGACACACATTAGAGATGTGTTACCCTTCCCAAAATTCAAAAACTCCCTTTGGCTAGAGAGCTACAGTCAGAGTACATGCACTAAAACCCTGATTCAAATGGATGGCAAGAGACTTCAAAGAAAGGAAACGAAAAGTCAGTGAGGGTCATTTTGTTCTTTTGCTTCCAGTGACATTGGTACTTGATAGTGAGGATGAGCTGGAGTTTAGTGTGTGTGCAGTCTTTACATGTGTTATGTGTCAGCGATGTATTTATGTACATCTGGAGATTTTTTTCTTTTAATTTTAATATCCAGTCATACTAGTCAGGTGGAGGGAAAAGCATTTGGGGCAAAACAGTTTCTGTTGTGTGCTGACTGACAGGTCCGCAAGGAATCTGAGCCCTCAGAATTCCACTGAAAGATCCGATAAATTTACACAGAACACAAAAGAACGTCAGTTAAAAATTCCAAAAATGAAATCACAATCTTTTTTATCAGTCATTATGTGTCTGGTACTAAGATTTAGCTTGGTTTCATTTTGGTGCCTCACATTGTATTTTATTTTATTATCATTATTTTTTTTTTCTTCCCAATTTTATGCAATATTCCCCCTAAAAATGTAAAAACATGCAGAGTCCATGTGGGCCTACTTTATCGTCTTAGTATTGCTGATTCTTACAAATGCTCAAACAGGAAACAGTTCATAATTAAAACAAAATGCAAGGACTATAAGCACATTATATGTGGATGAGAGCACAAAGTCTCTAGACCGTAGTCAGGTTAGATGCTGTATTGAATTTAACACGGATGTGTTCAATTAAATGTGTTAATCATGACTAAGCTCTATTGGCATTAATTTGTAGATTATTAGAACTGGCTGAGAAAATAGAAGCTATATGAGATTTTGAGATTGAATGAGATTTATACATCATCTGAAAGCTGAATAAATAAGCTTTCCATTGATGTATGGTTTGTTTGATAGGACAATATTTGAAAATCTGGAATCTGAGGGTGCAAAGTTGTCCAAATGAAGTTCTTAGCAATGCATATTACTAATCAAAAATTAAGTTTTGATAGATTTACAGTAGGAAATTTACAAAATATCTTCATGGAACATGATCTTTACTTAATATCCTAATGATTTTTGGCATAAAAGAAAAATCGATAATTTTGATCCATACAGTGTTTTTTTGGCTACCCCAGCGACTAAAGACTGGTTTTGTGGTCCAGGGTCACATATTTAAGTTGCACTTATCGAAAGTTTTTTTTGGGGGCTGTAAATGTGTTGGTATGACTAAGGGCAAATCAACGTGTAGGAGCACTTGAAAGGTTGGACCAAAGATTCTGTAAAATTCAGAGAAAGGGAAATGCAACCTTATATATTTCCTCCCTTTCTGTTTGTACCTCAGAAAACGTGGAATAATTTCTTGCACAAGAGTTTCAGAAGCCGTCCGACGTGCTAATAATTCAGTGGCCAAAATAAGAGCTGCACTCACAGAATGACAGGAAACAGAAGGGCATACATGGAAGGTTGTATTTGAAATGACTGGACTGAGCATGTGTTAGATGGGAGGATTCAGCATATTCTGATCGAAATGCCAAATGCTGGATTTGAGACATGTTTCATCTCTAAATAGAGACAAAGTTCTTTGACCTCCTGAAAACCCTACGGTTTTCTGATTGCACGGTTAGATAACGTTTGGTTTCAAAGGTAATGAGTCATTTCTGACATTGCTGGAGCCAGTTAGTCTCAGCCAAAATCTAGATTACCAATCTGAGCTCCTGTCTCCTCCAGCGAGTGCATTTCCTCTTTCATGTATTACAAACTCTTTTGTGGAGCAGAGCTGTTGTTGTTTTGGGAGGCGATGAGATGTAACGGAGCAATGCACTGAGAGAGATCAGTAAAGTATTGTGGAGGTGTAAGTACATCATGTCTGTCTTATGTCTGGACTATACACTTTTAAATTCTGTAAAAGCTGAAGTGGGTTTTGTAAACTTAGATTTTTTTTATTCTGATTTTATATAATAGAGATCTATTATTGTAAGAAAACCGATGACAAAGTATGTTTCCGTCTGGTAAGTGGATGTTAGTTCAGCTCATGTAATACAGGAAACTAGTGCATGTATATTCAATGACACTGACACAAAAATCATCAGGGGTTGATAAGAGATGAAATTACAGGAAGGCATGACTGATAAATCACTTCCTGTTCACTCAAGATGGGCATTTGATAAGTTGCTAGAGGAATTTTAGTAATGTGTTGAAAGCAGATTTTTTTTCCACACGTATGAAATTTTATGATTACATTTGTTTGGTGTACAAATGCTTTCTGCTACCAGATGGATTTTTGTTCGATTTCCTAACACGATGATTTGTGTTTCTGTAAAATACTTTCCTGTTGTATATGTGGCATACAGCACTCGTAATTCTCTTTATATTTTTGTATAATTCCCAACTTAATGGTCTTCTTTTTGGACAACAGATGAGAAAATAATTTAAGAAAAAAAAAAAAGTATATCCAAACTGATTAAATAAAAGCCCCAAACCCTAAAACGGCTGTATGTTTGTCTTCTTGGGTCTCTGATTTCCATTCACATTATCACTTACACAGCATTTTCCAACAAGGTTAAATATTTTCCAGCTTAAGATGAAAAACCCTTCAACCATTCTCTTATAAAAACTGCCAGCAGTGAGAGAGGTATTGGGGCTTTTTGGAGCATATATCATTTTAATCCATACGTTCAAGCTTGCTTTAGGCTAGATCAGGGTTAATACAGTAAATGCAATATGTTTCTTTTACAGAGTCACAAAAGCTGTGTGCTGATATCACTATATTTATGAAGTGTACATATTTTGAAATGTATAAATTGTATATTAGTTTGTACAATTTCTGCTCCTGTCTCTCATGTATATGTTTCCCTGCTTTAACAAAAGTTTATGGTGCCTACTTTTCCCCACACCTTACAGTTTTACTTTCAAACAAAGTTTTCCAGTTTAATGATTTGCAAACATTTGGCGAATCGTCTTGACTGAGTCATAAAAGAACTGGTACTCAAGAATTTGGATAGCAGTTCTTTGAATTTGATTTACAGGATGGAGACTGTGCTTAAACTAAGTGTTTCCACTTAAATTGTTTGCCCACTTTATTGCTACTAAATATAAAATGTTGAATGTTTTCCCTCTTCTGTGAACAGTAAGGCACATAAACAAAACATACCTAGTAGGCTCCTAAAACAGACATTTCCCATTAGCACCTAAAAGAACAGTCAGCCAATCAAAATGTGATGTGCTTACAAGGCCTAAGGCTAATATTTCCCTTCCTATGCAGTTAATCATATGCAGTTGTTTATTGTAATGATTCACAATGATTTTAATTACTTATATTGCTTACTTTTCATTGAGCACACAATTTCTGGCAACCTTTCTGAGTATCATCATAATGTAATGAACCTTCAAATAGTGTTTAAAAAATATGAGGCTTTGCTTGGGGTTAATTCAGGATAATTGGGCCATTTTTTCCAGTCAACTCAGTGGCAAATTGTGTCCCGATTTACATGAATTCTTCACAAATATTGTAATTTTACATATTAAATGTGAAATAATATTTAATTTAAACATGAAATATTGTAATCTAACTTGAATTTTTATGCAAATGCGTTACGATTACATGTATTACATGACAACAAAGATTCTTAACTTTTGCAACATATGTGAACGTATTTTCTTGGATTGAAATATGGAGAGCAAAATATAAAAATATTTAAAATATATTGGAAATATTTTGAATATTTAAAATATATTTTCATAATTATGCAAAAAATGGCCAATTTTTTAAATATATAATATAAAAAATATTTTAGAAAATAAATTTTCGTAAATATATAAATATGTTTTAGCAAATATATTTTTGGGCCTTTTTTTTAAAATATATTTTGAAATGCATTTAATAATATATTTGAAAATATGTTTTTGTGTCCTATGGGTCTCTCTCTATGTGACGTTTAAAGGGGTTTTTCTGCCCCAAACTTAAGAATGTTCAAAATAATTCCTCCTAAGCTGCTTTTCATTCTTTCAGCTGCATAAAAACAAGTTGTCTGTTAATATAATAATAATAACAATAATTCAATTAAAATTAACTAATAAATTATTTCTTTTAATTCACTTTTGATTAATATTTGATTATTAAATGTCTTTTGTCATAAATCAATAGCTGCAGCAAACAAAGAACTGCAACCTGACTGTAGTCTGAGGTCATGTGAAGATCAGCAGCGCCCTCTACAGCTCAGCACGCGTCCTGATGGCTACAAATATAATGCAGTGAAGAGACGCGTCAACTTTTTTTTTTTTTTTGCTGGTGCTGCTAGTAATCCACTGACTGTAGGTTAAACGTGGACGCAATTCCTACACATTTCGACAAATTAATTTCCATAATCTTTCAACGGTTCAATGATTTGCTGTCAAGTTTTTATTGTACCCACCTTATTTATTTAGATATTTACCGATTTTAGTTATTTGCTACAAACCATTTCGTTTGATTACTTGTTTTAACTCAAAATATGATAACTAATATTAGTTTGCAACAACAAGCAGCTAAAATATCTACAGCGGCTAATAGGAAGCCTTGCACAGCTGGCGCAAGTATACATAAATCAGTCCTCTTGCTACATTAGCTTATATTACAGCAACATCATATAGGCCTACAGGTTCTGTGAAACATAGCAAAACCAAGTGTGCCTAAACACGTCCTGAAAAGTGAAGTCAAAACATTGCGATCGCCATCGAGGCTGGCTGCAGAGTAGGTCAAAGCCAAACTCATAAACCATGGGGGAAAAAAACACTTCAAATAACATTTTCCCAGTTTTTTCCCCATCATTTTAGTTCTTATCACGCTGATGTATTTTCAAGTTTTTCTAATATGTTTTCTTTTTATTAGTTATTTGATGTTAGAAACCCTTATGAAAATTAACCATGCTTTTTGATTTAATTACAAATTTGACTACAAATAAACCAAAAAAACATGGTTACTATAGTTAAACCATGGTAACCACAAATTAACCATGCTTTCCTACACTAACCATAATTTAACTGTGGTTACAAATGGTAATCAATACGCCAAAAACCATGGTTAATTTTCGTGTATGAAAACGGGATGTGGTGTCATGATTGTAAGCTTGCGACTGGGTCTGAGGGAGTTAGGCGGACTTGCAGCTCCAAATGACGGCCATACATGTTTTGGCTTCACTTTTCTACAGTGGAAGGAAGTGGAGACGCGTCGTACATCTTTTTTTTTTACCGTCTATGAGCAAAACCAATGTTACTCACGTGAACAGAAACAGAACAACCTCGGCCTCCGTTTTCAGGCTTTCCTGTTCTCTGGTCTATCCTCTGGAAAGCTTTTCCAAAATGAACACAGGTCTTAGCTGGTGCCTGATCGTAACACTTCTTTTTCCAGTCATATTTCTCTGACCTTTTCCTCTCAGCCAGGTAAAGTCTCTCAACCATCTCTTTCTAGAAATCCCCCACTCTCTCTCCTCCATATATGAGCGTAAACGCCCCCTATTGCTGATTGGCTACAGGAGTGTTGTGGTGCTCGGTCTGATTGGTCAGATCCACTTTTTTTCCCGATTTACACAGCTGACTATGTCAAATAAAAAATAAAATAAAAAAATTTTCAGTACACAAACAGAACAAAATGCAAGCAGGTCCAGCCAATGAAATAGTGAAATATACACCGATCAGGCATAATATTATGACCACCTTCCTAATATTGTGTTGGTCCCCCTTTTGCTGCCAAAACAGCCCTTACCCCTCGAGGCATGTACTCCACTAGACCCCTGAAGGTGTGCTGTGGTATCTGGCACCAAGATTTGAGGTCTGGGGAATTTGGAGGCCACGTCAACACCTCAAACTCGTTGTGCTCCTCAAACCATTCCTGACCTGTTTTTGCTTTGTGGCAGGGTGCATTATACTGCTGAAAGAGGCCACAGTCACCAGGGAATACCATTTCCATGAAAGGGTGTACATGGTCTGCAACACTGCTTAGGTAGGTGGTACGTGTCAAAGTAACATCCACATGGATGGCAGGACCCAAGGTTTCCCAGCAGAACATTGCCCAAACTATAGCATCACACTGCCTCCGCCGGCTTGCTGAGGTATTCCAGGACCAGGATTAAGAAACATTATAAATTACAAATAAATACATACTACCAACAACAGAACAATCAATGTAAATCACAACAGTGGCACAATCAAAAAAAAACAAAAAAAAAGACAAATCAATGGCAATAAGCTTTTTATTTAAACATTAAGGCAGTGTCTGTTTTTTTTTTCCATTTAATTTTTACACTGCTATCCACAAAGCTTGCTGGTGGCCATGTTGAAATACAACAGTGTGAATATCAATCTTGCAGCAAATCACATAAATATGTACATCCTTTTAAGTCTATTTACACTCCTCGCTATAATACAGTGGGTCTTAATACAAAACAAAAACAAAAACAAAATGCACTATGCACAAAATGGTTGTACAAAAACAGATGCCACCCAAATACCCACTTAACCATTCCAATCTTAAGAGGGGCGACTATTACTACTGTTTTCCCACCTCTCTCCTCTTCATTTATTTTAATCTCTCAGCTTCATTTATGTTTATCAGTTACAAATGAGAATGCCTCCTCATCTGAGGAAAGTGCAATACTGTCCTCAGTAAAAAGGTCAAACAAACAGTCAATATAGAGGAAAGAGGGCTCGTTGTACAAGAAAACACTGAACTTTAGAGTGACTTGTCCACTAAATACAATACTGTCTGGAGTGATATGTCAGAGAATGAATCTCAAAATCAGAGCAGAGCATTCTGGGATGTTTGTGAAGAAGTTATGGTAAAAAAAAAAAAGCATAGCTACTGTTCACACACCCCATTCAGGGATCTTGATATGAGTGTATTTGGGATTGAAGTGACTGAAGATAAAGCCCCTTTTTACAAAACCACACTAGGGAAGGTAGTGCACTAAATCTGTCCTCAATCACCAAAGCAATAACAAAAGCTCCCAAACCGGATAAAACCCACTGCTGAACTTTAAGTTTCATCCTTTAATTAGCTTCCAAAAATATCCCCAAAGTCTGGAGATTACATTGAGTATTGCAGTTTGAACTGTTAAAGATACCTTTCATAGTAAAACCATGTTACAAATAAAAGTCAAACAATATGAATTAAAACATTTCATTATATCTAATATGCATGCAAAAAAAATTAGTAACCGCACCGCTGAGGTGGTCCGAAAAAGAGGCATTTTGGAGAGGAGACTGACACGGTAAATGTCTCCTTCACGGTTTTAAATTGTGCCTGCGTGACAAATTGTACAACCCTGACATAGCAAAGAGAAAAGAAACAAATTTAAAAAACAAACAATTGTGCGTAGTCACTTGGTAGTTTTAACTTCAGAAATGTATATGTCAAATACATGGCACTTAACACTAGAATTATATTTAAAACTGTACAGAGTGAAGGACTACAGGTTATATGAGGTGTGGCATCTGCTCACCTCTTTATTTTATTATGCAGGATACATCATCTCCTCAAATTCGCCCACAGGAAGAAAAAAAACATCCCGAACCCTTCGTTCAAGCACAAAGAGCAAAAGTAAAGCAGCTCTCAGTGAGTGTCATGTCAAAGGACTGGCCAGACAGCATGGCTTTAACTCTTCAACAAATAGATGACGTGAAAAACATCAGGTTTGCTGGGACATTCAGACCTGATAAAGCAGCTTCCCCTAAAGACGTGTCCACTCGCTCAACTCTCTGCCAGTGATTGTCACTAGAGAGTGGAACACTTGACTAGGTAGGTGACGAAACAAATCAACAAAATACTGTATAAGAAAGTAAACAAATAAATGCTGTGTAAAAAGTTGCATTCAGGTCAGCGTCCGTTAAAGGACACAGACAGGAACCGTTTGCCTACTAAGTGCTTAACTCGTCACAAAAAAAAACAAAAAAAAACATGCAAACAAGGATCATGTACATAAAAAAAGTTTAAAACTAAAAACATCTCCCATCAACTATCAGAGTTGACTGAAAAGACAATGTATTATTGGTCAGCTAGAGACGCTTCTGAATGCCAAAACTAAAGTAAAAAATGAAGGTTTGATGTCAACAAATTAACATTATGTATACCCTGTAAACCAATGATTTGGCCGCCCATGTAAACTCTCAGAAGTAGCAAGGTAAGGACAGAATGTTAAAGGATAAAATGAAATCTGCTTAAAAACCAGTACAGTTTAGTGCAGGGATTGGCTAACGTGCTTCTCTGAAGGTCTTGTTTCATCACACACATACTAGGAAGGCCCAACAGCATCAGATCCGTAAAAAAAAATAACAACAGGGTCATCTTGGCAACACATGAACCATCATGAAGGACTGCAGATGCACATGAGGGCGTACGTGCGTGTGTGTGGGTGGGTGCTCATTTCTGCAGAGGATTCATCCAGCCTTTGCATTACACCACACACACAAAAAAACAATTTGCAGTTGTATTACAGTATAAAGGTGTGTCCTGAGCAGTCTAATGAGGAAAGCTCCAAAACGCGTCAACAAAACAGATTCAGTCCATGAGTCAACTCTGATAAGGCCTGCAAGACGACACAAATAGAAGTATTTATATATATTCATATTAAAAAAAAAGCTAAAAAGTGATTCATCCTACAAGTAGTCCTGGAGTGATGCACACGCTAATACATGTGTGCGCATTCACAAACACACTGACACAACACGCGTCTGCAGCCATTTAATGCACTTCCACTAATGGCGTGAGTGTGTGGGCTTGGGGTGGGTTATGGGATGTGTGTCTCTGTATGTATGAATATGTTTAGAGGTATCAGAGGGCATGAGCGCAGATGGCGTGCGTGTTCCCGTAAGTGTATGTCAGTATGGACATGAGTACGTGTGTGTTCACGAACATCCCTGTTTACAGTAACAAGTTTTTGTTCATAAGCAGCAAACGTTCAGTCCTAGTGTATGCGGCGTGAGGTGTGTGTTCACTCGCTGTCTGACAGGGTCTCGTATTGAGAGCACAGCAGAGGTTTGGGTTCTTCCTCCCAGGTGCGGGGTTGAGTCTGGCCCTGTGGAGGTGCAGACGTGCCCTGCTGCGTAGGGGAAGGAGAGGGTCCCGACATCATCCCGCTGGGGAGACGCATCTGCATGGTCAGGGGATTACAGGGGAATGGAGTGGGGCCTGAGAGGAGGAACCAGAAAAAAAGATCAGAAAATATAGATAAATAAAATGCACAGTATCATTCGATACGATTTTTTATTGTTTCTAAAAGAAGTATGATCATCAAAGCTGCATTTATTGTGAAACGGGTACAGTAAAAACAGTAATATTGTGAAATATTGCAATTTAAAATAACTTTTCTATTTGAATGTATTTTAAAATATAATTAATTCATATGATGGCAAAGCTAAATTTACATGATCCTTCACAAATCATTCTAATATGCTGATTTGATGCTCAAGAAACATTTCTGATTTTTATCAATGTTGAAAACTGTTGGGCTGCTTAATATTTTTGTAGAAAACCCTGATGGGTTTCTTTTTTTGGATTCTTTGATGAATAAAAAGTCACTATTGATCAAATTATTGCAACATTGCTGAAATTAATTTCTCTCAAAATGTATTTTATAATGATTTGAAATATTAGTTGAAATTGATTCAGTTATTTTAGTTGACAGATGTTGCTAATATTTAATTTTAATTCTCACCCGTACTGTGATTGTGTGTGTACCTGTAGATGAGGGTCTGTCCTCCCACACTCTGTTGCTGAGTGGGGTGTGACGGTTACAGTCTCCCTCAGAGTGGACAGAGGACACAGATGAAGGTCTCTCTCCTCCAGACAGACCAGGAGACTTAGTCTTGCGACCGTTAGAGCGCCCTCCTTTGGATTTGACTGAATCCAAACACAGGACACAAATCAGAGATATTCGGACAAACAAATATTAAGATGCCTGAACGTGTTTCCAAAATCACTGTCAACTGGTGGATCGTGTATCAAAAATGGTTTGCAGGTCTGTTCTGATAGGGTCATGGACAACAGGGAAAAACTATGCATATGCAACTAATAGACAGCAGAGACCATGCTTATTTTGTTCTAGACATGAAAGGAACTAAAGAATATTTTGGCACAAATTCACCTGTTTCTTGGTAAAAACGAGTAAAATAAGGCAAGTGCCAAATCAAACAGCTTGTGTTACATGCCCTTTAAAAAAAATAAATAAAAAAAATAAAAGAATGCAGGATAAGAAAACACAAGTGCATTAAATACAGGCACATTATGTAATAATTTATCACATGCTGTTAATAATTTACTATCTTTGCGAGGACATTTGGTCAAAGAAATAGCCCCAAAACCTGACACTTGCTGCCATGAAGGTAGCTGAATTATCAAGGGTTTATTTGGCGCACCTGGCAGGGAGTAGGGGTCTTCAGAACGCCCATCCGCTGAAGCTGGCGGCCCGACAGCAGCTGGCACACCAACACTCATCGAGTTGACAGAGTTGGACGGTGAGCGATCATCCATCTGTTCATCATACTTGCCCGTGAGGGCTTTCCTGATGATGGCCTCCAGACCTATAGTATTACCACTGGCCTCTGGTGCTGGGTGACTGCGCACGCTCACGGGTGCTAAAAGAGATGTAACAGTGGTTGTGTTAAAGAAACAGGAGTGTGTGAAGTGTTATTTGGCAAGCTTTGTTTGAGACACAGGACAGTAGTATAAAATGAACTGCTATTGTAGAGAATAGACCACAACTGGAGGAGATGCTCACCTGCATTTGTAGAGGCAGGCATATTAAAGATTTCTGTCCCAGGTTGGCCCTGGTCTAAAACAGAGACCGGAAGAGATAAGTTTGAGCCCTTTAGCTAGCAACAATAACATATATTGTACAACAGATTCAGTCCCATTAACTCACTAAATTCAGCCTCTGCGCCGACCACCATCTTCTTAATCATTTCCTTCTTGCTCTTGACAATGGCGGAGTTGCTCTCAGTCAGTTTACTGAAGAAGGCTGGTGGTTGAGAGCTACTGGCCGGAGAACGAGATCCCATACTGAGACACAAAAGCAGAGAACGAGTAATGAAAATGTAGGATGAAAGAAAAAAAAAAAAGTTTATTTGTCTGTGTGCTAGTGTTGTCCAATTCATGAATGAATCCTTCTATTGTGTCAAATAGTTTTATTGATTTGTTCAAGAATGGACCCTTTTCGCAGACTGTGATGATGTGCTTCCACAGCTATTAACATTAACAAATGGAAATGCAAAAATTATATCTGTTGTAGTTTTCTATCCACCACTAAAGTTCAACCAATTATGACGACTTCCACCTCTGTGAACCAAGGAAATGTGAAAAGAGTCCATTGGATAGAATCAGTTTGTGCAGACTGAGAACCCCTGAATTGTTGTTTTGAACAATTTATTGTTCAAAAGAACCGATTCGCTCCAATGATTCCGACTCCCATCACTATTGTGTGAGTGCATCTGCTCGTGTGTTATATACCCCTGCTCTGCTTGTTCATTAGGGTAGGCGGCTCCTGGCGTCTCCGGCTCTGAAACGGCCCCTGGTGGTGAAACGGGTTCAATCCCATCGGCAGCCAGACTCACTGGAGAGGCCTTACTCTGAGGAGGAGACCTATCTCTCCCTCGCTCCCTCTCAGCAGCAGTGCCTTCTGGGGTGTAGCGGGCGTTGGGGTCTGTTGGGGTCTGGGCTTGGGGGGCGCTGGAAGGACGGGTGAGATCCAGCACAGGGGAGTTGTGATACCCAAACACAGGCTGTAGAGATGATTGACCACCTATCTGGCCTTGCTGCGACTGTTGTGTGTAGTCTTTAGTGATCACCTCCTGTAAAGAGGAGACATCCATTTGGTGATGTGCAAGCAGGTGAAAAGTACACATTTATATTCAGAACAGCAACACTATTCTTTCTGTGATACCGCATAAACTATAAAACAGATGGTTCTGACCAGGGTCTGAAATCAATTTTCCATAAAAGGGCAATATTTGCCCACTGGAAATATTTTTTTTAGATTGTTTTATTGTGCAGGGACATTTTTGTTTCATTTTCTGGCACTTACACTGATGTGCTGGGCGAGGGTGACCACTCTCTGAGAACCTTTGACGGCAGACGGCGGCTGCTGACCTGGAGAAAGTCTGTCCTCAGACCCGTACAGCTGTTCTAGTGCTTTTTGGTGAGCTGCAGAGAGGACAGGGAAGCACACATAGACAGGAAGAGAAGAAGACGAAAGTGCGTTTGAGTATGGTGTGGCAGAAGGCTCTGGATTACTCTGAGGGTAAGAGCAGAGACGGGTGTGTAAGCTGTGCGGTCACATACAGGCTCTGGGATTACAGTACTCAATGACTTGCTCACACGTGTGTTCAGATATCAAGCCAACATTATGGAGGCATCTGACTGTAGCGGAGTTTAAGCACTGTGCCGATTAGCAGAAATGCTTTGAACAAAAACACAACAATAAAACAAGCAAAATGCGTGTTTAAAATGAGCTGTGAAGATAGGAGAGGTGGATATGTTTGTGTTATTACCAGGCCAAAGAGCCAAAGATATTTTCCTTTTTCTGCAGCTGTACATTTGGATTTTCCCACTGTTTTGACACTACCCATTCTTATCTTTACAACAGAAAAAAGTATATAATGAGTGACAAATGTGGTAACACCTGATTAAGGGCTACTGTATGATTCCGATTCCAATGATTGTATTCATTCTTTTGGCAGTTTTGAGAAAGCCTTTCACATATAAATGGTTTAAAATACATATTAAACAAAAAAAATAATATAAACAAAAACAATAATATTTACATTGACAACTCATGGATTCAATTCAAATGGATTGAAAAATCTTAATAGACTGTAAGCGCATCCAAGAACAACATTGGTTAAATGTAGAGATGTGAATCACAAGGAATTATTGATTTTGATCCCACATAATAGTTTCAGACACTTGACAACAATTTACACTACCTTTCAAATGTTTCGGCTCAGTAATATTTTTTCAATGTTTTTTGAAAGAAGTCTCTTATGCTCACTGTAGCGGCATTTATTGTCATCAAAAATACAGTAAAACTGTTACATTATGGAATATTATTACAATTTAAAATATCTTCTTTCTATCTTAATATTTCTTGGTAACATTTAAAATTAGGTTTCATTTGTTAACGTTGTGTTAACTTGAACAACACGTCTACAGCATTTATTAATCTTATACATTTCTACATTTGCTAACATTTTTAAAATCAAAAGTTGTATCTTAACATGAACAATGAACAACTGTATTTTTAATAATTGACAAAAATTCATAAATGCTATAAATATATTGTTCACAGTTAGTTCATGTAAACTAATGCATTAAACTAAATGAGACCTTATTGTAAACTGTTACCATTTTTATAAATGTAATTTATTCCTGTAATGACAAAGCTTAATTTTCAGCAGCTATTACTCCAGTCTTTAGTGTCACATGATCCTTCAGAAATCATTATAATATGCTGATTTGCTGCTCAAGAAACATTTCTTATTATTATCACTGTTTTGTGCTGCTTAATATTTCATGGAAACTGTGATTTTTTTTCTTTGATGAATAGACAGCTCAGAAGAACTGAATTGATTTGAAACAGAAAACTTTGGTAACATTATAAATAACTTCTCACTTCTCAATCTCACTCACCACAAACCAAACAGTAGTGTACTAAAAGCAAGACTCATGTGTTTGATACTAGTGAGATTTCAGTCTTTTGGCTGTAGATTCAATAAGATGGCGGAAGAATCCAGATATTCAACAATCGTTAGGAACCAAACACCTTGAAAATCATTCAGCTCCAGATCCATCTTGACCCTCTTTCTCTATAACTTGTATAATTTGTTTGCTTCATGCAGCTATCAAACTGTCAGAGTGCCAGAGTGCCCTCCCTCCCAAAAAGGAAATGAAACGGGAAGCAAACACGAAGAGCTATGGAATGTTCCCCAAATTTAAAAAGAAAAAAAAAAAGAAAAGTAGAAGAAGATAAAGGGGGAACACAAGAGGCAAGCCAATAAAGACGTTATGAAACAATGAGCAACCACATGACTGGAATGACTGAGCTCTTAAAGTTCACCTCAGGATCTTTCTCTGGTCTAGAAAGCTTGTCTCCAGACACGTCATTCTGGACCGTTAGGGCGTACAGTGAATTACCAGTTCACTAAGATATACGCCTGTGGCCATTACAGAGCAGAAGCTCAAATCATTTAACGAGCTTCAATAAATTCATTTGTGGAAGTTTGGACTGAAACGTGCAGAATCTCCCCTCAAAATTTGGATTTGGCAAATGGTCAGATGGGTTTAGGTGATGCAGAAGGGGAGGTAAACCTTTGGTGGTCTTTAAGCATTGCTTCAGATGCCAAAAAAAGCTAAAAAAGCAATAGGTAGAAGCATATTCAAAGAAAAACATTTTTTACAAAACCAAAAGAATATGGAAACCGGGTTGATTCTGATCAATGCCAACCACCACAAGCGTGCACTAGGCCACAGACGTAAAGGGGGTGGGAATGGGGCAGGGACGCAGGAGGGGTAGAGGAAGTGGTGGAGGGATGGAAATGTCTTGGGTGGACTGGTAGAGAACAGGAAGGACGGGGAGAGGAGGGGAGGGTAGGGAAGGTGGCATTAACAGCCCACAGGTCCCAGAGCGTCTTACCATCACAGGTGCCGTTGGTCGCAAGCGCACCAGTCTCTGGCATCGCCGCATCACAAGAAATTTGATGCATGATTATCGCGTTTATGAAGCTGGCCGCTGTCATGGTGGTCTTACCGAGTGCTCGAAGTTCGTGTTCCTGTATGGACATCACTTTGTTTTGAGTCTTTTCCCTACTTGACGCGCTGCTGATGCCATCCCCACCACGAGACGGGATGGAACTGCTGCCGCTGTTGCTTTCGGAAGCCAGCAAGGGGTGCCCTCGACTTGTGGGCAGACCAAGGTGGGCACCAGAGGCCTGGCTGTAAGGAGAGGGGTATGAACCACCGGCACCAGGGCTGGAGGATGAAAGGTCCTGATGCTTGGGCAGACCTCCACGCCCATGGCTCTTGCCCCCATCTCTGCTCGAGTCTTTAGCATTTGAGTCTGTACCAGATGGGTAACCCTCATTGGCTAGACCAGACCGAAGGTGCCCACTAAAGCCCTGGTAGCGAGCAGAGCCCGGTGGCCTGAAGAAAGGTAAACAAATTAGAGACAACTTCAACATGTTTACCTCAATGGACTGCTCAGACAGCAGATTGAGCAGTGAAGACTCACCGCAGCACAGAGGGACTATTGTGCTCAGAATTGGGCAGGCTCTTTGAGCTGGTGTTGTGCAGAACACTGGGTCTCTGCTGCAGGCAGTCCTGGGGACGGGGGGAGAGTGGAGACGACTGGTGACTGTATGGATGAGACGGGGGACGAGAACTGCTGCTGCCACCCATCTGTTCTGGAGCTCCTGTTTGGACACAATGTTCAGACATTTAGCAATGCTGATCTGCATATTGCTATTTGCTAAAGTACACTGACACAGAACAACTCAATATTATTTCAATTATAACTACAGCTGTAAAATGAGTGTATTAAAAATGTAAATTAAGCTGAAATAAAATAAAAATATATAGAAATATCAGATGAAAAACTGTACTGAAATATATGTTGAAGTTGAAATACTAAAATTAATACAACTAAAACTGAAATTAAAATAAATTAAAGCTAAATAGAAATAAAAACATAAAAATAATAAAACTACATACAGTGGGTATAGAAAATAATCACCCCCCCTCCTCCAAAATAATCACATTTTGTTGCTTTGCAGCCTGAAATGAAGACGGGCACAGTTTTTGTTTTATCCAGCTTTATTTACTCAGTGAAACTTATAATATCCAAGTGAAAGCTATAGCACCAACATGTCAGAAAAATAAAATAAAAAAACAGAATCACTGATTTGGAAAAAGGATCAGACAAAAATTGAATTATTTGGCTTCAACACCAAACGATATGTCTGGCGGAAATCCAATTCAGCTAACTATCCAAATAACAGCATTCCTCCAGTAAAGCATGGAGGTGGTAATATCCTGTTATGCGGGTGTTTCTCTGCAGCAGGGACTGGAGCACTTGTCAAGATAGAAGGAAAAATGGATGGTGCAAAATACTGTCAAATTCTTGAGGAAAATCTGCTGTTCTCTGCCAGAAAGTTGTCAATGGGAAGAAGGTTTACCTTCCAACATGACAATGGCCCAAAACACACAGCAAAACGGAGCACACAGTGATTGAAGGAGAAAAAGGTGAATGTCCTTACATGGCCTAGTCAGAGCCCAGACTTAAACCCCATTGAAAATCTGTGGAATGACGAAGAGTGCAGTCCACAAATGGTCACCATCAAATTTAACTGACTTTAACTGAAAAATTTAACTTGAGCAGTTCTGTAAAGAAGAGTGGGCAAATATTGCAAAGTCTAGACGTTCAAAGTTAGTAGAGACAGAGACATATCCCAACAGACTAAAGGCTGTAACTAAAGCAAAAGGTGGTTCAACAAAGTACTGACACAAGGGGGTGATCCTTTTTCCAACTCAGTAATTCTGTTTTTTTATTATTTTCAAACATGTTGGTGTTATATCTTTCACTTGGATGTTATAAGCTGCACTGAGTAAATACAGCTGGATAAAACAAAAACTGTGTCCGTCTTCATTTCAGGCTGCAAAGCAACAAAATGTGATTATTTTAAAGGGGGTGATTCTTTTCTAAACCCACTGTAACTACTAAAATAAACACACAAAAAAACTAAACTAAAATTAAAATCAAAACTGAAAATAGAAGTCAAATAAACATTAATAAATACTATAAAACTATATGAATGGTACTAAAATAACAGCTGTAAAACAGTTAATGATTTATCAAGTTAATTACATTAAAATCTGTCAACAAGCTAAATTAAGCACATTTAATTCCATAAATATTTGCTGAGAAAAGCCCCCAATGAAGACGATACAAAGAGGTTCCATAAAGTGGCTGTACACGTTAAAAATAAAAGGCAGTGAGGGCGCTCACCTGGTCTCCATATAGGGGCATGTTCCACGTTACCATGACCGAGGGACTTGTCTCTTTCTCTGTCCCGATCTTTCTCACGCTCTCTCTCTCGGTCTCGTTCCCTGTCCCTCTCTCGCTCTCGGTCTCGCTCACGATCCCTCTCTCTTTCTCTCTCTCTCTCCCTCTCCCGTTCTCTTTCTCTCTCTGAGGATGTCGAACTGCCTTGGATCTTGCTCATGTGAGAGGCTCCCACTGTTAAAAGAGATATTATAAAGTGAAGTGAATGGCGCTTATACAGAAAATTAGTTTTAAATCATCATGTTGTGTGTTTGAGTGAGTGTGTTGCTCTGTACCTGGTGAGATGGGAGAGGTGTTGTAGGCTCCGCTGGGGAAAGCTGGAGAGGTTCCTGGGATGTATGTGATACGATTCATGGGAGATGCAGATGTTCCTGCAAATGGACAGTAAAAATGAATGTGCCTCTGATGATCATAAGTATATAACATGTCATTTTTAATATGACTGCCCATATTTAGGTAGCATTGCCTATTTTTGTATTAAGCTACATGACAGCTTCCACCAGGCCATTTGGAATAGTTTTCCAAAAAAAAAAAAAGTAATATACCATTGTTTACTAACTCTCATGCAATTGTCAGTGAATAATGACTTAAATTGTGCTCTGTTTCTTTAGAAGACTAAAATAATGTGAAGGACAAAAGCCCCTTTAAGGACCCCTCACCTCTGGCTGTGGGTGAGTAGGCTAAGTTAAGGGACTGCTCTCGAGGCGTCAGGCCTCTGAGCAGGTCAGGTCTCTGGGCAGCCATGGCAGCAGTGGCTGGCCACTGGTGCATCTGCTGGGAGGTAATGTAGTCGTTGAAGAGCGTTTGTCTGTTCTCCAGGGCTGCTGTTTCAGGGAAACCTCTAATCAGGTAGGGTGCGTAGTGGTGAGGGTAGCCAGGGGCAGGGGCCAGGTGGCGGGGCAGGTAATACGCTGTTGTGGAGACAAGAAACAAAGTCAAAGCAAGAAATGCATTACATAATACATTTATTTTCAAATACATGTCCTCTTATAAGTCTGGGGCTGGTTTGTTAAAGTCTATTTTGTTCACCAAGGCTGAATTTTTTATAACTTAACTGGTCTGGAAATCACACGTTCCCTGATATTTCCAAGTTTTCCACAATCATGGAAATTTCTACCCTAATATTGTGCTGCTTAACCGCAAATACCTGGGTCAATCGGGATTCCCCTGGGAAGAGTTGCAGGGTCAAATGATAGAGGTATCTGGCCATGGAACATCTCAGTTCCAAGCCCCTGCAGGATCCTCTCGTAAGCCAAAGATGCAGTGTGCTCACCAACTGCCAGTGGAGACTTGGTGGAGCTCACCTCTCGAGGGGTGGGAGTGGCTTTTCTCTCCTGCTGCTGGGCCTTACTAGAGCCTAAGTCACACACAGTGGAACAATATATAAACATCATACAACTCACACCAGCTACTGAATGCCAGTGATTGGTAGAACATGATACCTTCATGTGCACGCTGTGAGGTTTCTCTCCCAGACAGTGGAGAGGCTCTGTGTGAGGGCGGAGGGTAGCCGGATCTTTTGTGATCTTCATAGCCCACTGGACTGTGGTGGGGTCTGCTGCTTTGCTCTCCAATGAGTGCCAATGGAGAGGTACGGGACAGAGAGCTGGGGGTGCTGACCACAGCGCTTGGTCGGGATTTGCTCCCTACCTCCTCATATCGGGCCCTGTCTGACCCTCTGTGCTCGGGCCTAAGCTCTAAATGAGCGGACAGTCCAGAGTAAGGTCGAGGAGAACTGGCGATAATGGAGCGCACATCATAGCGCTTGGATGAGCCAACAGGCTCTTGTTTCAGAGGGGTGCCCTATAGAACACACATTTAGTTAATATTCAGTTAATTTGACATAAGGTTGTGTGGTATTGATGTTTGATGTATACTGTAAAGGCAATAAACATTTTAATCTTACCAAGTCTTGTTACTTTTAGATTTTCTTTATATTTTTGAATGTATTTAATGAACAACCTATTAAAGAATTTACAATATGACAAATGTAAGGATTTTGGTCCAGAAGAAATGGGGTTATAAAGAACCTTTTCATGAGCGGTTCTTCTTAGAACCTCTGGAAAGAGTTTTTGGTTCTGCCAGACACCTTTATTTTTAAGAGTGTAGAGGTACAAAAAAAGTACCCTAGGTACTCATAATTTTGTGAATTTCAGTATTTATAGCCCTTGTTTATTTTCAGCAGTTTCAGGCAAAACTTCTCTTTAACCCTAAATATGAAATAAACGTGGGAAGAAAAGTGTAGTACTTTCAGGATTTTACTTTATTTAAATTTATTTGCCAGATATCCTACCACACCAAGTTAAGAAAACATCAATCAAAGCCAGTCACCTGGGTGATTGAGCCCTCCTTAGGCTTGCCTATCACAACCCCCTCAGGAGGGATCAGGTGGATGGAGCGTCCTCCCTCTTTGACGGTGGTCACCATACTCTCGTGAGAGCGTGATTTAAGAGTGTCAGTGGGATGACCAGGGCCACGGGGTGATGGTGAACCCTCTCTTTTAATCTGTTTAACCTCCCGGCGCTGACAATCATCCCGTGGGATTCCTGGGAGAGAAAGAAGAGATGTAAGACAAAGGAAATGTGAGTTAGAGCTCGTATGAGCCAAAGGTAATCAGTTGAGGCTGAGTTTCTGAGATAATGTTGACCTTGGGATATGGATCCACGGATGTGGTGCAGATGAGGACTATCGCGCTCGTGAGGCATTGCTCGACTAATCAAGCCTGCAAAAGAGAGAAATGGCAGGTGAAGGAACGTTAACTGGAAAAAGGATAAACGGTGAAACTCCATTGTCCATGATTGTTAAAGAAGGCTGTCTTATGCTCACCTTCAGTGGCAGATATTGAGTCTCTGATGGGTGGCACACGAGAAATGCCGACCTCCATCATGTCATAGGTCCTCTTCAGCCCAGTCATATCCCCACGAGCCTCTTCCTTAGAGTTTGGACCCCCTGTGTGTTCAAACACAAACAATAGTAAGAGACGATTTCTACCTTTATTAGGTTCTGAGCATTTACATGTTTGTGTACATTTACGGTCAAAGGAAAGGATGTGTCCACTGATGCCCTCGTAGACTACATGCCCCTTAGAAGGAGTGTCTTCTCTGCTTCTCTCTCTGCTGGGGCTGTCCTCAGTAAGCAGACGGGTTATTGTGCCCTTGTACAAGACATCTGCAGGAGTGCCCTGAAAAAAATGATAGGAAAGGCTTAAAACAAAACGCAAATTTTTTCTTCCCTTTTGTGACATATATCCGAGTGATACTTAAATCATGCTGCACAAACTACTTGAAGACTAAAACTACCTTCGTAATTTTAGGAAGACTACAATGTACATCAAGGAGGGTAAGACTTCCTGGGGTCTGACCTGGTTTGACCCTTGTGTTGTGAGAAAAGAGGACTCAAAGCAGCAAGCACTTTGTGTCACTGGTATTTCATAACTATATTTTAAGGTTACAGTAATGAAGAATATGATTATGTTGAATCTGTGCTACAAAAAAGGCAGAGAACTGTTCAAATTGTTGCAAGAAATCGCAACAGGACAAATTAATTTTAAAAGTTTGATCTTTAACTGGACAATGTTTCAGCTTCAGATATACTAGTTAAAACATCATGTCATACAGCTGCTTATGACCATATCTCTACCTGTATCAGGTAAACTCTTACTGACAATGACTCCTTATCTCTCCATAAATCTACCAATAATGTCACACAGCTAAACACAGAGCTTATCTCTGCTCACAGAATTGACCTCGGTCGGATTAAAGGCTCGCCCTAACCCATTCTGATTTGCTTGAGTGTGTAATGTATGTCACAGTAGGTCAGTTGGCACACTGCGTGCGTGTCTGAGTGATTGGTAACATCAGACTGTGTAACTGTGTAAACGCATTAATAAAAGGAGAGAATAGGATTGGACACTGTGTACCTGTTGCTGTGGCAACTGATTACCCAGTTATGTCATAATATGACGTGATATGGCTGTGACACAAACTGCCCGTTCCATTCGCTTGTTAAAGGGGCTTTTATATGAGCTGACTGCTCACTGTAATTCATGGATTCCAAGAATGAGAACATCACTTCACAGAAAAATGCACTGACACAGTTGTACCCAAAAATATGTTCAAGTTCACTGTGAATTTTCCTTTGTACACGACAGATGGCAAGCTTGTAAATGCTTTGTGTTCCATACGCATGAGAGTCAATGCACCAGCTCAATGCTAGTGAGAGAAAACAAGCTGCATAATATAGATTAGCCACACCTGCGTGATAGAACCTCCTCGATATGACATGGAAGGTTCTTGGTGCACACGCGTGCCAGGGATGCCCTTCGTGATGCTACCACCCTGAACAGCTGGCATGGGGCCTGTGAGAGAGAGTTAACGTTTTCAATCTATTCACGATATAAGCCTTATTTCTGCAGTTTAATCTCTTTGAACTAGAACTGAATTGAGATGAGGGATAATGATTTTTCCCAAACTCACCCCGTGACGTAGCGCAGTCCTGTGAGGAGAGATTCTCAGCCTGAGAGGAGGCGGCCCCGCGTGGAGATAACTGCTCCTGTTTAACCACTGGAAACCCTCCTAAGGAGAGAGAAAGAGGATATGGAAAATGGACAGCTAACGTGTGATCTCACAATCACGACACAAACTCACCCATTTTCCTCTGGTCCATCCAGGAGAGAGCCAGGGATCCTGGTGCTGGGATTTTTCCATGGTCGGAGCCATGAGATAGGTTGTGCAATTGCACTGGAGTACCCTGCAATACAAAACAACATGTACACCAGTGTAATTATGCATGTTCACATTAATACACCATTAAACCACTCCGAATGTATTATACATAATATTGATATGCCCCAGTTATACGACTTCCAAAGAACATTGGTACTGTGAGAGATTATGTGGTGCTCTTACCTGCGTGATGGAACCAACAGGCTTGGCAGAGGAGATGAGAGGAGGGGGTTCTGGGATTTGGAGAGGGCGCACTGCAGCCATTCTCTCCTGTGGCTGTAGAGAAGGAGCCAATGCTGAAAGAGGGAGATTAAAAAATATATTGTATTATTTACACTACTGGGCAAAATTTTGAAATATTCAGACTTTTATTTATTTTATTTTTTTTAAGAAATATTTTATGCTCACCAAGCCTGCATTTATTTGATCAAAAATACAGTAAAAACAGTAATAGTGTGAAATATTAGAGTTTAAATGAACTGTTAGTTCTCTATTTTAATATACACTATACATACACACAAATATAGTATTTTATAATAATAAATAATAGGGATGCAACGATACCAATTTTTCCAGAACGAGTCCGATACCGTTACTTTTTTGTACTTGCCGATACAGAGTATCGATACCTGTATTTTCATAGCATTTGTAATTTTTTTTAAATATTGGGTACAGAAACCAAAAATAAAAAAAACGAATCATGTTAGCTGGCTTAATTTAGCAAACAGATATTTCCTACAGTTATTTAAAAAATTGTACTTGTTTAAATGTATTGTACAAGCTTTTGTTATATTTTCACTGTTCATTTTATTGTTTTATGGCAGTGGTTCTCAATTCCAGTCCTGGCGACCACTGCTCTGCATATTTTGCATGTCTCTCTTATTTACCACACCTGATTCAGACAACCAGCTCGTTAGAAGAGAGCTCCATGAATGAACTGTGTTCAGATTGACATGGTCCCTACACATTGTTCATTGCTCCCTAATTCCTGAGCACGGGAAATCTGTTGAAGTTTACTTCACTTCGGAACATTCATTCACGGATTTGCGCTACACTACTGTCTGCAGCGTCTTCACACACAGATGAAACTTAGTAGAGAAGTGAGAAGTGTGATATAATATACCTCTATAAATAAATACAATTTAAATTAATGTCTCGCACACTTTAATGCCCTTTGAATGGAACATATATGCTCCCTTCGAACTGGAATCATGGCGGAACATCCTGTGATGTTCACTTCGCAGGGCACTTACGGTCGAATATAACAAATGTCTGAAGTGATCAGAGATAAATACAAAATGTGCAGAACAGTGGTACGCGACTGGAATTGAGAACCACTGCTTTATGGTATTTCATCTGTAATTCAATAGCACATTAGAGCTGCTCCATTGCAGCGACAGAGTAATGTAATCACAAGACGTTTTGCTGTAATAACACAGCGAACCACTCATTATACATAAATCATGTAACAGCGATGAACATATTTTCTGAAATATAAGTCGCGTTTTTTTTCATCTGAAACATGCTGCGACTTATAAAGTCAGGTATGCTTGATGTTTAAAATAAATGTGAATGTCCCTATATTTTTTGTTTGTTTTATATTTACGATTTAGTTTTAATCCAAATGATGCACGAGTGAGCGAATAGCAATCAAGATCATGCAACAGAAGTGCGCACTCTCGCTCTACTTACCGTTAGGTAACTTTAGTAACTTGTGCATTGTTTTAATTATTTGCTTTTGACATATCCGACTGAACTACAAACTTTCCAGTGATGTCTGTGAGAAAAAGATACTTGCTCGACAAGCTCGTACATCTGTGCCACCGCACACTCAATCCACTCAGTGTGCTTTGCTTATCAGCTATACAGGCATGAATATTGAATGTTTAACATTAAATTAATTACATACATATATTTCATAGACATCCTTAATCTCTAACAAGTCCCTTCTGCTGTCCGTGTTTCTTTGTCTGGACTCAGAACTGTTCACACGCTGTGTGTTTTTTTTTTTATGAGTACCAGTGCAAGTACAGGACAGCAGTATTGGTACCAGTGCATGCCTAATAAATAATATTATAATATTATTTTTTACTTAATTAACAGGGCTATATTGTCTTACAGGGATTGTAGTGTAGCAGCTGTTCATGGCTGAATTTGGCCATGTCTCTGGGAGAGAGTTGGTACGGTGACATCACTGGTCGGCCTAGACCTAAAGCCCGAATATCATCAGCCCCGGGAATCATTTTACCGTCCGCAAGAGGAGAGAATGCCCGAGATTTATCTGCACACATACAAAACCATACAAAGATGACTGTCAAACATATGATTACTGGATAGCATTCTATGACACTCTTTTTTTTGCCGAAGGTGAAAATGTCAAAGCTCAAATCATCATAACCCCTGCATCAAAAGCAGCAATCTCTAGTGTGAAAACACAGATAGCAGTTATTCAGAATCTTCCTCACACACATTAACAGATCATCAGGCTCATCAGCACTCTGTAAGCTGGAATCTGAGAGCGTAGCGGCATGCAAATACATCTGCAAATCATTCACACTCCCAGAAATCAACACGCTTGATTAGAGTCCACTCCAATAGTGAGTATGCATGTAGTGTGTTAACCTACGTAATCCATGTAGCAGAGCCTGAAGCCATCTCTCGTTCCCCTCCAGCTCTGCAGGGACAGACACACTGCAGCTCATCACATGGCCATGACCCAAGACTCTTTCTCTCCAAGTACTCGAAAGGAGCAGTTTTGTGACTTAAAGGGAGAGTTCACCCAAAAATGAAAATTCTGTCATCATTTACTCACCCTCAGGTTATTCCAATCCTGTATGAGTTTCTTTTTTCTGTTGAACACAAAAGAAGATATTTTGAAGAATATGGGTAACCAAACAGTTGATGGTCCCTATTGACTTCCATAGTATGGAAAAAAAAATACAATGAGGACCATCAACGTTTTTTCCTTTTTCTTTTTTCAAAATATCTTCTTTTGTGTTCAACAGAAGAATTAGAATTATACCGAGTGGAAACAACTTGAGGGTGAGTAAATGATGACAGGATTTTCATTTTTGGATGAACTATCCCTTTAACTTAATTCTGAGAGCCCAAATTGAATAACATCATAACAATATTTGTTTAATGAAGTGAAATTTCCCTGTTGAGGACTCATTCACCCATAAATAACATGTAATAAAACTGAGATTATATGGTAATCCCCACCCTTTCCAGAAAAAGATCATTTTCTCTTTCTGTCCTCATTCATTTCACTTCCTTTCAAAAGACTTCTCTTATATTCAATGTTTAATCACTGAAATACAAATTTGAACCAATAAGCTTATAATTACATTCATGTTATAGTCGATATAAAAAAAATACTACACCAGTTTATCTGTACTTTTAAAGGGATATATTTAAATATAGAATATACAGAAAACAAGAGTCAGTCTAAAATAGAGTGGTACGAGAGATACAAACTAGCACAGCCATGTAGGAAATTGACTGCCAGGGGCAACAAGTCAATTATATACTTTAGTGGTCATTATACAAAACATATTTGCTGGCAGAATTCTGCAACTGATCTTTCAGAATCAAGTTTTCCAAAGAGCAGTGTCATAAATATTAAATTGTGTCTGATGGACATTATACAAAACTAGAAGTATTTTGGTTTTCAATTTCAGTATAGCTCCAGTTGGTTTTAATTTTTCATAAACTCAAGATTTTACTTTTTCTGTGTTTAGGTGGATCACATTAGCAAAACGTTGGCACAATTTTGCAGGCAAATAGATGAATCTTCTATGGTCAATAGTGTAGCGATGTATGAAGCACAGCTCACACTTTCAAACCAAGCAGCTTTCTGTTGGTCACTTTGGAGAATCTGCGTGACCAACTTGAACCCTTGAATCTGTGTGAGAATTTTCACCCCAATGTGAAATTCATGATCATGTGGATTCCTTTTGAAATGATTTTGCCTGTGAAAATTAGCCAAACAGCAATAAATGTGATGCACCTTTTGCCTGTAAAACCTGTCACCACTTTGTTACACATCAGGCTGTTACTAAAGGCAGCATCAATTTTATATTTACACATGTCAAGTAACAAAGTTTGTTCACTAGCTGTCCGTCTAGGTGGTCAGGTCTTGACTGAATACAATGTCCTTTTCAGCGACATGCAGAGAGTTCCTCAGGGGCAGGGGCTCAAATGTAAAATAGGGGCAATGTTTAAAAAAAAAACAAAAAAAAATTTTTGGTCAAATGTTTGGATACATTACTATTTTATATTTTTCTAAGAAGTCACTTATGGTCATCAAGACTGCACTTATTTGATCAAAATGTTAATATACTTTAAAATACATTTTATGCGATGCTGATTTATTATCAATGTTGGAAACCTGTGATACTTTTTCAGGATTCTTTGTTGAATAAAAAGTTAAAAAAGAACAGCATTTATTTAAAGGGGTCATATGATGCTGCTAAAAAGAACATTATGTGACGACCCCGGGCTGGACTCCGCTTCGTCCACGGTGAAAGCCGATCCGGCGATCGACAGCATGAAGTTGAAGTATTTCCTCAGCGACCATGAAACGGATTAGCTCCAGGCATGACGAAGCGATATCGTCCTCTTTTGGAAGGCCGAACAAAGTAGTTTCGCTTTCACAACGAAGCACACAGCGCCTTCACGACATGGCGGCGGCAACAACAATACTACAGCGAGAATAAAAGTTACGCCTTCTTTCTTTGCGTGAACATTTGGGCGGCGTTATGTAAATCTTCCCACATAGTGACGTAGGTATGTGGGGGCGTGTTAGAACGAGCCGTTTTAGGTAGGCGTGGCTGACTCTTAACTTTTATAAAGAATATCTCTTTGGATTTGAGACTTTAGTCTTTGCAACTTTACAGATCTTTTTTATGCACCAAAAGCTTGTAACACTCCAAAGAGAAAGGAAAAATTGAAATCGCATCATATGACCCCTTTAAAATATAACTTTTGTATATTTTACGTTTTTTTTTTTTTGTAATAAGCAGCACAACTGTTTCCAACATTGATTATAAATCAGCATATTACAATGATTTCTGAAGGATCATGCACTGAAAACTGGAGTATGCAGAAAATTCAGCGTTGCATCACAGAAAAAAAATTTTTTTTTAAGTATATTAAAATAGAAAAACATTCTTTTAAACTGCGCAGCTCTTCGAGTGTAAAGCCTGGTTGATGTAATTTAATTTATAAAATGAGACAAACCGCAGATCCAGATCGCTCCACAAATAAGCTCGTCTGCCCCATGTAATTTTCAACTGATTTATAAATAAGAACGTAAAATGACCGCTCCACTTCACATTATTGTCCAATGAAATGCGAACTTGTGCCAGATCATGATTGGTTGGTGTATTACACATGACAAACAGGCATTGATGAATTATGTAATATTCTAAAATATATAATACATGGAGTTTTAATTAAATCGACACACTAGCTTTGATTATTCACTCACTGAAAGAACCATATATGGCTTGAGAGTCTAGGTTTCCGAACAGACTGTGGAATATCAGTCAGTCAAGCAAAACGCACACAACCCATAGCAACACCTCAGATTGACAGATATGTAAAAATAAACAGGAATTTTAAGACTTTTGAGCAAATAGTTACTGTTTTGTACACATTGTCAGGTTAATTATAATTCAAATGCATTTTGTTTTGACCACAATATCATTGCTATTTGTCTGAGAGGGGCACTTTTGAATAATTCTGAAAAAGGGCAGGGGCTTGAGCCCCCAAAGCCCCCCTTCTGCACGTGCCTGGTCCTTTTTTACTATATTTACAACCCACACTACCACTCACTCCACATGTGCACAGACACACACATCAGAACTTGCTTAATTGGTGTAGTAGACACAACCGAGGAAAATGATGGTGGTTGAGAAAGCTGGGGAGGAGAACGAACTGAAGGAATAGATGAAAGGATAATGAAAAGAGGAATAAAAAACAGACAGCAACTTACCTTCTCTCTCTCTGTCAGAGACACCAGGGCTGCGAGTCCTGACCCGTGGGCTACTGGAATCTCCACCCCCTGTGTTATGCTGAGATTTGGTTGGCTGTGATTGTTGCTGTTTGATCTCCTTAGGCCACACCCTCCCTCGTTACACAAATACACATCACCTGATATGCATTAAATCCAATAAGCATTCAAGTTTATACAGCTTGGACTTGGAAATTATGGATAAAATGATGATATGGTCAAAATCATCACTTGCCTAATAATTGTGCACACAGTGTATATATATATATATATATATATATATATAGAGTTGATAACGATAATTTAGACTTTTCTCGAAAAGATTTTTCGTAGTGTTTTTTGTGCTTGTACCTTGGCTGTTTTTTTTTTCAGGATTTTTTTTTACCTTTATAAGAGCAGTATTTTCCAACCTTATTAGATGTATGCATCATCTGTGTAGCTAAAAACACCAATTGGTGGCGGCAAGTCAATGTCTTAATGAGTAAGCCATTGACTCATTCATTAATCATTTGTTGAAACGGATTATTAATTCAGGAAAGGGGCAAGTGTCTTTATGAATGGGTCATTTAATCATTGACTCACCTGATTAAAAAAAGTGGATTCATTGAGTAACGAAACACTGTTGTACAGCAAAAACAGACAATAGTGTAGCTAAACGTAATTCACTATTAACTTTGTTGTTTATTGATTGGTATAAAATCAGTACACAATTAAAATCAATATCATGTTTGAAATAATTCTGATATTTGGGAAAAACAGCACGCTTTATTATATAAATATATTATATAAATATAAGACAAAAACTCAAATGGGCATTTTAACTGCATTATATTAGGCTACATCACAGACATGATTTTGTTCATTTTTTTTAATTTTTTTTTACAAAGGGAGTAGCACACTTAATAATGTCAGCTCACACATCATTAAAACAACAAATATGGTGTTATCATAGAAAATACATATTGCACACCCCTAATGACCGCCCACATCCACATTACTGTCTTTAAATAAGGTGGTGTTCACAAAAGGCTAATCAATCATAACAGGTCATTTACAAGTAGTCTTAAAAGAACAGCAACAAAAACAACCTGTTTGAGTCATTTAAAACAATTATGCCTGTTTTGGTGAGACTAACGAAGAAGAGAGGAAAAATGCAAGCTGCTCTTAAAACAGCACATATCAGTTTACACACCTCTCCTCTTGCCAGAGCTCCGACATTCTGGCTGTTAGCTCATCATGAGTGTCTGAATAGCTAAGAGCAGAGGTGGAAATCTAGCATCTCATAGGAATAAAAACAGCTTTAGTAACCATGGCAACATGGAGAGAAGATGCTAATCTGTGTAATCTGGCCAGATATGCCAGTTGTTAACATGAAAACCTCATGAAATTCAAACCACAAGTGACTGAAAACAAAGATGAATGTTGGTATGGGTAGGTACTTACTATGGGAGGTATAACGGCTGCTCTCTGCTTGAGCTGGTTGATGTCCAGTGGTTTCTGAACTGGAGAAGTGATCACTCCATCATGGGCGAAACTCAACATACTTGGCCTAGCAGACATTGTGTTGAGAGTGAGAAGAGTTATTGCTTAATATGGTCAGAGCCTCATTCTCTCTTATTTACTGTCTTTGTAAACAGCCCATTAATGCCACAAAACCACAAACACACACACTTAATCATCATCGCAACACATAAACAAATATAGACTTTCCACATGAAGTCTTATGGAAATGTAAAATGCAAAATACACAAAAGACAGCCAGCCTGACAGACACACACACTTCTCGCTCTGTTATGTTTGGCAAGCTCACAGGCTAATGTTTCCCCTGACTCGGCCAACATATACAGTGTTTGCTGTCATGGAAAAAATAAAGTCCTACAGGACAAATCAACAAACCCTGCCTCCTTAACTGCAAAACACATGAGACCACACCCAAGCAACCAATCAATCCTCGCTCTCATACACAACACATGCACACTCTCACCTGTTCTTGTCTGAGCTTTCCGTCTCCTCCACCTCATCGGCACTGCATGTGGCGCTGGAGTCACTGTCTTGAGCTCCGCTCTTTCCTCCATGCTCTTTCTTTTTGACCTCTTTCTTGCCCTCCTCCACCTCCAGGGCAGGAGGCTTCCTATCTTCTCCTGTCGCTTCCTTACCACACTCCCCCGGTTCAGTCTTTACTTCCTGCTTCACTCCTCCCTGCTCCCCTTCTCCTTTCTCCACTTTTGGCTTTTCTTCCGGCCCCGTCTCCATAGCTGCCATGTCCTTGTCCATGGAGGATGAGGAGGAAGTGGCATTGGTTGCAGTTTTGGGCCATGCCGACCCCTCTTCTTTGACCTTGCTGTCATCTGAGGAGCGTGGGGAAGGGAGGCTCTCGGTGTCTGAGCTGTTATTAGCTCCACCTGAAAAACGAAGTGATGGGAAACGTCATAAGAGGGCAGGACATGAATGTCAGCTGATTTGTTAAGTGTGGTTTGATTGGCAAGGCGTTTTTATGGGCAATTCATTCTTCAATTTGGGGCCCTTCTGGCTTCCTGAAAATTCATGTTAAAACATTTCTTCCATGTTCTGGAATAATGATCTGATTATGGACATGATACCTTCAATTTTGGTAAAGTACACTACTGTTCAAAAAATTTTGGGGTGGTAAGCTTATTTTAATGTTTCTGAAAGAAGTCTCTTATGCTCACTAAGGCTGCATTTGAGTAAAAACACAGTAAGAGCAGTAATATTGTGAAATATTACAAATTAAAAAATCTCTTCCAGTTGAATCTATTTTAAAATATAATTTAATCCTGGGATGGTGAAGTTTAATTTTCAGCAGCCATTACTCCAGTCTTCAGTGTCACACAATCCTTCAGAAATCAATTTTAATATGATGATTTGCTGCTCATGAAATGTTTCTTATTATCAATGCTGAAACAAGTGTGCTGATAATAATTTTTGTGAAAACCATGATGCATCTTTTAAAGATTCTTTGATTATTAGGAAGTTCATAAGAACAGCATTTGAAACTGATTTTTTTGTAACATTGTAAATGTCTTACACTCACTTTTAATCAATTTAATGCAACAGTACTGTATGTGATGGTGGTATATTAATATTGTGTTTAATGGTGTCATTTTTGGAGAAATAGGTGATACATTTTTTTTTAAATACATTTTTCTGGCCGCTGCATTTACTTGTATAAGTGATTATTCAATATATGAACA